CTGTTGTACTATATTGCTCGACATAAAGGGAAAGTTGACTATTGGAAAGTTAAAACCATCCCTCTTGTCATTCAGTCTTGGGGAGAGTATTTGGTATCTCTGAATCAGAATGCATAGATCTAAATATGAAACAGATTCAGCGGTCTCACTGGTCTCCTTTATTTCTAGTTCAGGTGGTAAATCAGTGGAAGGGAAGTAGCTATTTGATGGTTTGTGAACGATCAATGACCATCGATATACCGGAAGATTAAACTTTTTGGCTAAATTACCTTGTTTTGACTTTGGCAATTCGAGCAGTAATTCCGATTCAAATGCATTAAAAACAGAACAGCAAGAAGTGGACCGCAATAATGGTGCCCATTGAGATGCTTACTTCTTCCCTCAGTGTCTTACCCCGAAATTATACAGAGATGTTATAAATGAGGAAGTCTAGCATTTCACATTTCCGCATTTTCTCAGTAAACTTCAGATGGCATTGCTTTCACTTTTGACAAATTGCCCTGAACCCCTGAGAATAGATATGTAACTATATCTATGGCCACCACGTTTTATAACAAAATCTCCATGGATCAATGAATGAAGTGTTTCATTACGTTTGTCAAGTGAGATAGTGGTGTACAAAGTTGAATCAAATGTTTTGACAGAATTTAACATAGTTCTTTTCTGAGATTGTAAAAAGTCAAGCAAATCCTTTGAGAATCCACATGGTATTAATTCCACTTGTCTCAAATACTTTCTGTAAATATATAGAAAGTCCTCCCTTGATTGTATTATGGATTGTGGCTAATCTTTGAGTTAGGGATTTGGTGGTACATTTGCTGGACAAAGCAATCTATCTCTCTTTGTACATATTTTTATGAAGCTTTGGAATCCAGTACAAAACAGGAATGGACATGTCTTCAGGTTCAAAAGTCAGGTCAAAAGTTGCTGACACGTGCACTGATGCACGGTTTGGGCAGATTTCGTCCGCAGTTAATATGCTGGCCCTATATGTGGCTATTTTTGTCATGACATTTATACCAAGTTCTTTTATCAAGCAATTTATGTAGTGATACTTACATATGATGGTTGATATTTTAGGTGATAGTTGGCTGGGACCGAATGGGTTTGTTCCATTTCTGTTTCCTCTTTTTCAGTTTGTGCATTGTACCAGTGACAACTTCACGCACTGACTGAACCCACTCTGAAAGACACTCAACAGGTTCTTCTTTTCTTTTGGCCTATTTTTGGCATATGCTCGACGGTATCAATAAAGTTGTGATCCCAATTCGTAGGAGGCTGCTCACGATATTTTGGTAAGTATTTGATTAACTGACGAAGGTTGTTGTTGTCAACAATAGAGAAGTCACCTGTGATTATATCACTTGCAGGTTGGTAGCCAGGTTCGAGTCCTGGCAGCCACAAGCAATGGACTTTACATCATGAGCTGCCAAGTCCACGGTCTGCAATACTTTCCTATAATTGAACAACCTGGATGAAATGGTGTTCGTATAGGAAAAAGAAATTGTTGGCTTTTCCTCAAATTTGAACTATTGTGGACCTTTTGAGAAACCGATTTCTGTCTGAGAATAAATTTAAATTTAAGGCATCATATCCCTTGTTTGCACATTTCAAATTCAAGAATATGCGGTCTTTGTCTGATTTAGTGGAGTCTGTTTCTGGTTTGGCCAAAGTTCAAAGCAATATCAAGAACTATATTCTCTAGTCGATATTGTGGGTTCGTTTGTAGACCCACCCATTAACAAACGTTGCTGGAGTCGTTTAGTTTCTTTCAGTGACCCTCAGTATGGTCTGGTGAAGCTCACTCTTTGTGTCCCAATGGGGTAAAATATTAACCAAGTAACCATATATGTACATCACATGTTAACCTTGATACTAGCGTACGTGTTGGTTGGGGTCACTCTGTATTGACAGCAGGAATTCAATCATGATTATATCATATATTTTGCGAAACATTATTTGCGACACTGCGCGGCGTTTCACACACGTGTCAAACGAAAACATTGTTAAGTAGTGTGAGTGGCAGGTACTACCGGTAGGGCAGGACCTGCTTAGCCTTTTCGCGAACACCAGGTCTCATCACTGATTTTAGGGATCCTTCCATATAATTTTCACCGCTATCTTCCCATTTACACCCAATGGAATCTGTTTCATCTGATAAACAAGACTGGTTATTCTCTGGCATTTACGTAATATATTAACTCACGACAAACGATACAGAAGTTGTCGCTGCTCTAATGAGTACACTACTATCAGATATTTAGACAAAGGCCTAAATACTCTTGCTGTAGCTTATCACCTTTCGAGTTAATATATCTCAGGAAGTCGACCTGTATGAGACACATAAATCACATAAAGTCACCGCTACAGCAGTGATGACATAATGTGAACGGGAAATCGATGAGCATGTTCTCTTTAACCAAAGGAGACGCTGACTTAATGATTTGGAGTAATGCCGTTTACTATGACTTACCCAATTAAATGCATCTTAGGAACTTTCAGCGTATAATGTCCATGTACTCCGTTGTTGATTAAAGGAGAAATGAAGTTAAACTGACATGTATTGTGTGCGCATAGTTCAGTCTGACTGTAAATGAGCACTGGGGTATTGCTCTGATGTATCTTAATGAGTTCATAAACACATAATACTGTCATTAACGTAGGTTCGTTGTTTCATTACCCTTGAGATGAGGTTCGTGTTTCGATCATACAAGTAACAAATTAAGTCGTGTCAAAGAAGCTCGTTACAGTACACGACTGTTCTCCAGATGCACTGAAAATAACCTCAATGACGTTTATTAATGGTTATCATTCATTACAGTCACCCAACAAGGGATAATAGAAGACCTCTGTGGGGGACATGTTGGTCAGTCGTCTTAGGCTTTGGAGAGTTGCGCCCCTTAGTCGTGCCAGGATCAGTACGCGTTGGTCGTGGATTTACATTTGATTATTTGCCTTGTTTTGTCAGCACCATACCCGTGTCAGAGGATTTCATCAAGTTGGTAGTGTCTCTCCCCCTTTTTTCTTTGAGCTTTCAAACAAAACGTGATTCCTTACGTTTTTGGGGATATGTTTACCCTTTTCGCGAACACCTGGTGTCATAACTGACTTTCGGTGTTCCATTCATGTACTTTTCACCGCTATTTTGCCTTCAGCGAACAATGGAATCTTTTCCAACTGAGACTGATTATTCATTGACGTTAATATTTGAACGGTCTGCATGATTTCCATCCAGCAAAATAATATTTGTTTCCGTGGATTTACAGTTATAGTATATTAATAACCCATATAGCGTACACACTCACTATACATAAGGTACAATTGGTAGCATAACATAAAAACGTTTCAGAACTCAAGGGTTACTTTCGAAGTAAGGAAGATTTGAACAAATAAGACTCCATTGCTTATTTGTAGGTGATAAGGGTTTTCATTCATTAATGTTTGCAAAGGTAGATTTTCAAAATGATCAATGTAGGAAGAAAAAGGTATTTCGACACACCATACCCAGAAAAAATACTTATGTGAACATATTGACATCCTGAAAGTGATCTTTTGTAAAGTGAATCCTACTTCACAATGATTTATGAAGCAGGTGGGACCCATTATGCTACAGGTGGGACTCATTATGTTAGACCCGTGAAGATCCGGGGTAGAATTGTTCTTCGACAACCCATGCTTGCCGTAAAAGGCGACTTTGCTTGTCGTAAGAGACGACTAACGGGATCGGGTGGTCAGGCTCGCTGACTTGGTTGATGCATGTCATCGATCCCAATTGCGTGGATCGATGCTCATGATATCAATCCCTGGATTGTCTGGTCCACACTCGATTATTTACAGACCGCCGTCATATAGCTGGAATATTGCTGAGTGCGGCGTTAAACAACAAACCAACCAACCAACCATCCTTGTCGTAAGAGACGACGAACGAGTGCGGCGTAAACAAACAAACAAACCAAATAAAACCCATTTTGTTAAGTTGACCGTGTCTTCACTTAACTCAACTTTTATACCAGTGAAAATATGACTATTAGATGGGTTATTAATATACTATAACTGCAAATCCACGGAAACAAATATTATTTTGCTGGATGGAAATCATGCAGACCGATCAAATATTAACGTCAATGAATAATCAGTCTCAGTTGGAACAGATTCCATTGGGCGCCGAAGGCAAAATAGCGGTGAAAAGTACATGAATGGAACACCGAAAGTCAGTTATGACACCAGGTGTTCGCGAAAAGGGTAATCATATCCCCTAAAACGTAAGGAATCACGTTTTGTTATCTAAAATCGATGTTTTGAATGTTCCTATCACACATTGAGTAGCATATCAATCATATCCGAACTTTGCCGAAATGCGAATATGGACAGAACAGATATTAACGAGAGTCAATAACCTTGAAAGAAACTATTTCTCTCCTTTTATATGTTGCACAAGGAATCATTTATCAAAGTTCAAATCCGTTTTACAGGGACCTTACTGGACCAATACCGCTTAATAAGTCTCTTCACGACTTCGAATGTGTTCTTGGAGAGCTGTTGACCTTGTCCATTAACTAAATAAAGCTTACTAAGTGAAAATCGGTCTCCTTCTGAGATAATAGAAGAGTGGGAACGCCGACTTCATGATGGGACAGACACGATGATGCACCCTCCTCAGCCAAGTTACGTCACATGACGCTATCGCTCCGACTGGCACCTTGTGTTTCCTTAATACCGCATATATGACTTCAAGGAGTGTTCCCTGTTCTGTTATTTTCTCGATGAGGGATCTCCTTACTAAGATGCTTCTGTCAAGTTAAGGCTTAAGTCTCTGGAAGGTCCTCATATAATTATTCAACAGCACTCGATAGCCTCATCAATAGATTAAATGCTTGATATATTCATGACATGCTTGATATATCCACAAGTTTGGAAGAATCCATGCTAGACGTGCAGATGGGCAACTTACGCCTCTGTTTTAGCATATAATCCGGACAACGTGATCGAATCGATCCGTCTGCGATGAAACGTCCATAGCCGAGGTCTTCAAAATTTATTCTAATTCTGTCACCACCAAATTTGCAATAATTGGACAAAGACAACAGAAATTCTGCATAAGATCAGCATCCCCTGTTTAGCTGGTATGGACTTCGTGTGGGAGTTGTAATGATCAATACGTCCAGCTCGACTGTTCCCTGCCCGGCGCGCGCTGTCGTTCTGTCGTCTGCTCGTGGTGTCACAATGGAACCTTCCCGTCTCTAATGATTCTTTCAAGCCTTCCTTGACAGCAGAATTAGCTGCAAGAATCGCGGCTAAACAAACGGTTGCAGTAACATACGTACAGCTGTCTGCAGATTCGAAAACTCACCTGGAATAGGTTTAGCTCACCTGTTGATTTGTTTGCCAGGTGTTGAAGCTCAGGTGATCAGAGTTAGCAATCTTGAGACGATTATTTTGGCACTGACCAGACAAAGACACTTTTCAATCTCATTTTGATGATTTAGTAAGAAATTTGAGGGTTCTAAGAACAAACGGCGCTGCGCATATTGGCCGTTAAATTGGAACATATTGGAAGATTCCATTCAGCGTCAACGAGTGATATTCGATACATGACTATGAGAGCGTGTGCTTCTTGTGATTAGGACCTTGGTGACGAGGGAACAGTCGCCATCATTCTTGTAAGAGCATTTGTCATCGAGTTATGGGATTTCTTTCTTAGTGATTCTTGGATTTCCCGAAAACATGAGCATGTCAGCAGCGGGTGAGTTATGTTGATACAGTCTTGTTACAATATCTATACATCATGAATATTTAATCTCATTCTCATTCAACTGAAGAATATGTAGATCAAAAGATGCAGGAAAGTTGCATATTTACGTCTGATTTAAAACATTTTCTGAAGATATATTTGAAATACATCATCATATGCAGCATATATATCAACTACATTCATTATAGACGCGCATTGATATCATCTTCACAAAAAATACAAATAATCCAATCAGATGTCCTAATAACTTGTGGTCGCTAATGCATATTAGTCACGGTATATGGAACGAACAAACACTTTGTGATCGATGAATTAAAACATGCTGCGCATGTCAAGTGTGTATCAGGTTTACCTGAAACCCAGCCATCTGTGCATCAAATTACAAAGACTTAGATTTAGAAAATAATGGACCAGCAATGGCATGAAGCTGCTGACTCTATATTGACAGCGCATTAGACGTGTATTTGTTGTTATTGATTATCAATATAAGGCTCGGCTCATCCTTATTACATGCAAGTAAAATTCCCACTAAAGCGCAGCATTAAGCCTGTAGGGCTGTTCCGTGAAAGGTGCGAAAGGCCGTGGGACTTGTGTTTTTAAAAAAACACATCTTGACACTCTTTTCATTTGTTTAATTAATGTTTTTTCAGTTCATTTTGTAGTCAGTGTATGGGAATGCAGACAAATCCTGATTGGATCCAAATAGTAAATTGAATAATTTGTTATCGTGTGTTTAATCAGTAATAGCACTTTTCTCGAACGGCCGTAAGACATGTTGTGTTTTAAAAAGAATGTATCTTGACACAATTTTCATTTGTTTAAGTTGTGTTTTTCAATTCATTTTGTAGTCAGTATATAGGAATGCAGACAAATCCTGATTGAATCCCAATAGTAAATTGAATGACTTGTTATCTTGTGTTCCTTTAATAAGAGTAGTTTTTCTCGACTGTAAGTATTCATTGTTTTTCGAAAAGGGTGTATTATGCACAGATTAATCAAGTGTCATTAGAAAATGTGTATAAAATCTAAAATGTCTATATACTTGTATAAATAATAATATGTGCAGAACCATATTTGCATTTGCAGAACCATATATTTTGCAGTTGCGTTCTGAACTGATTACAGTTACAACTGTAATATTGTGTGTATTTTATTATTAAATATGTCACCCTCAGCATAACATATACCTCTATGGATGCATGTGAAACATTGACACAAATGATCATATTGATGTTGCTGTATAATCCTGGATCTATATGTTTTATGAGGCTAAGAGAAAACAAATATCTTTCGCAGTGAGTGAGTTTGCGATTTTAATATGTATTTCAGGCAAACGTTTTGTGCAGTGTGTTGGAGTATTTTTGTTTGGGGACAAGCCAAGTGGCGAATTTTTGATTGAAACCAACGTCAAACTCAGGCAGTAGCATGCAGATAGACCCTTGGTCACCCAGTCCACGCGAACTTGCCGGCAACAAACATACAACAATACTCTAATTATTAAGTTATTAAATACGCGATTAATTTAATCGATTAGTTTAATAGTCTTTGAGTACAAATTCATGTTGAATTTACTTTTTTTCTGTGACATATCTAATAAAGGAAAGCTTTATCGGCTACTTGGAATCTGTTTAAAAACATCTATGCAAAAACATAGGTTTCATGAAAACAGGAATTGTGCTTTAGGACTGCAGGGACCGCTCATTATCATACAGACACAAGGACAGCTGATTTTTCCCTGAAATACTACTCAGATATGTTTGTTTAAATTGAGGGGTTGTCGCATATGAAACATCTGTATGAACATCTGCAGATGTATTAAGATGTCACCTCAAGCAAATAAAGCCATGAAAAAGGGACAGAAAGAGGATAAGAGGCTTTACCATGCTTTGTGGATCCTGTGCTCACGATTTATCATTTCAAATACACCAACGTCTCCAACCAGGTCTTACGATGTCATCTTGTATTTATCATAATATCTAAGTTAATGTCCACTCGTCGTCACACATATTTACCTCACCAGTCCATCATCAAATTATACAGATTTCAGGTCAGACATGTAAGCGTAATTGTATCCCTGCGGACACTTATACATATTGGAAGTGTAACTTGGCCAGCCCTGAAAACTGTCTGGTGCTAAGGGTCTTCTCGCTGGTGACTTGTTTCAAACCATTACACTTTGTCACAGCCGAGATGACAGTGGCCCCAGAGACTCTTTCTGATGTCCTATTGATAATTTCCTTTAATACACACTCAGCTGTTCCTGATTGTCTCTGTTGTGTTGTGTCGAGTTCTGTTAAGCTGCTACAGAAGAAATTGTGTTTATCTTCTCAGCAAGGATAAGAGACCAGTGTTTACTTTTGTAGACGTTGGATATGAAAACATGATAAGTCCATTACTTCTCGTTTCCATGGATACATTTTCAATTAGATGGAGGACATCTTCCACTTATCAGTGCCACCAATTATTCTATACAATGATACAGAAATCAATGTAATATAAAACTTGGTTCGTGTCGTTTGCTTAAGACTTGGGGCATCCCGTCATTTAATCCCTTATTAGTGCTTCTCACCTACGTATTCTCTAAAATGGAAACGAGACGGGTGTGCTTGATTGGTTTGTAACCTGACGTCAGAAGAATACATAACGATCATGGAAAAGGTAATATATAGAACATTAGCTGGTTATATAATGACATTGCACCTAAAATTGTCTGATGAATTAAGATAAAGCCCTGCTTAATCCAATTTGTTTGATTTCTTGTCACGTTTTGCGTGACTTTCTCTATTTTCAGTACTGATGTTGCAAAGACCAGTAATTATATGTGTCGATGTTAATATATTTCGAGTGCACCTTCTCTGAGCAAATGCCATTCATATATCCCCTGTGAATCTTATTGTCAGTTGGCATGTGAACACATAATTAAAAAGTTACAGTAGACTTTTGGAATCTTTTCAAATCCAATGGATTACAGTCACTTGAAGCGATGACATTAGGCGGAGACCAACAACAATAATCTTTACTCTTGACACAAGAGCTTTCAGCATATATCATTTACCGCTTTCTTCAACGGTTCACGTTGTAAATGGTGTGCATTCAGAACATGTCAGTGGCCTTGATATTTCGAGTACAATGTCATTTTTAGCCAATTACAAGCGGAAGAAACATTTTTCTATCCAGTGACAGAGTTCGCTGATGCCATATTGCCATTACAGTTCATCACAATTAGCCGGGCTCACTGCATGCAGCTAATGACTGTGTGGGTTCATGTCATCTCATGCAAATACTGCTGGGGGCCCTATTTGGCAGACCATGTGCTGTGAGGTCAGACCAGTACAAGCCAGGAGTAATGTCCTCCTATCACTCAGCATTGACCACCTTATTGCAATGTATTGTTCGGGATTAGCTTAACCAACAAATTAGAATTGATGCGACATATGAAAATGAAAAATATGACATGAAAATGAAAAAGATTATATGTATGTTATAGTAACAAGTTTATATGTATATATAAAAAAAACACAGTAAAGTTCTAACTCTCAGGCACAATATAGTAATGATTAAATACGTGGAGTAAGATTGAACACAGTTTTAATTGGCTAGCGCTTTCAACTCGTACCACGTACGAGTCTCATCAGGCCATAACTGAATAACGGACATGAAGTAGTAACATATAGTTAAGTGACATCATGACATTAAGGAGAACTATGACGTCACAATACCAAGGTACCAATGGATAAATAATTAACGTCTTTACATTTAACTTATTTATGAATGAAATGTTGCTCTTTTTGAAACAATGTAGGTTCATGATCAAAATTTAGCTTATATAGCGGGAAAACTAAAAATTTGCCGCTTCCACAAATGTATCTAAATGTTCACTGAGTGGAATCTTGCGGTTGTGTGGCTGCGTTATTTGTGATATAGTTTCACATCGCTTTTAGCATAAATACAGCAATGCCACTGCTGGGGACATACATACATGGGCTTGAAACATTGTCCCCATACAGGTAATCGAACCCGGGCTTTCGGTGTGACGAGTGAACGCCTCAACCACAGGGCTATTCCACTGTCATAACTTAAAGAATAGGCTTGATGTGTAATATTATTAATATATGATTTTAAGGTTTATACAATGATCCTTCTCTGGTAAATAATGGCTAATATCACCATGAATGGTAGGCTCGCTTTCAATCCACAATATTATTGAATTCCTCTCCCTGACAAAAAAACATCAAAGAATATTGATTGACAGCAGTATGCATTGACTGTTTGTTTTATAATCTCATAAAACACATCTGGTTTTCTTGGTCTCAAACACATCATGTTTATATTTCTGGGAGGTTTTTCAGTAAACGAGAACATTTCATCACTCGTATCAATCATAAACATTTCAAAAGATGTCTCTGGCAGTGAAGTAGCTGTGTGATTCGCGAAGATGGGCCTTTTAAACAGCTGTATCAGTATTTATGTAGAAACCTAGCACGGTATAATTGGACCCCAGAGCAGCTGAGAGTTTTTTTCTACATCATTAGTTTTCCTAAGACGAGATGGTTTCATAAAAAGTTGCCTTGGGCACAAAACGGGTGACATTTCACTGGAGACAGCCAAGCTCCTGTTATGCTACTGATCAGATTCCTTTTCACCAGTAAGTTTGGCAATAGAAAAACGTCACATTTTTGGGGTCACATCTCAAAGACAGTTCTTTATAGAATATGACATTTCAATATCGATTTAAACGTTAACGGCGCTAGGTTAGGTCTACCTCTGATGTTGGATCCAATGAAGATCCGGGTTAGAATTGATCTCCAGCAATCCATCCTTGTCGTACCCGTGAAGATTCCGGGGTAGAATAGGTCTTCAGCAACCCATGCTTGCCGTAAAAGGTGACTATGCTTGTCGTAAAAGGCGACTAACGGGATCGGGTGGTCAGGCTCGCTGACTTGGTTGATGCATGTCATCAATCCCAATTGGGTGGATCGATGCTCATGATA